AAAATTTAAAGTTGCCTCATGAAATTAAAATTTTTTACAACAATGAAAAGACGCGTTCGATAAAGATTTTTGAGTAACTTAATACCACACACAAGCCGCTTATTTCGATTATTCCGCCTTTCCGTTTTGGATCTTAGCCGTGTGAGGATCGTTCTCTTCCGAAAATATTTTTTTCAGTGTTTCGACCAAACCTAGATATCCAAATCGAAACCAAATCGTAAAAAATCTCAGACATTCTTAACCCTTTATAGGGTTTTCTTTTACAAGTAGGTTTCTGTTGATTAAAAGAAACAAATTCTTGGAAGTCGAATTTACCACTTCCCCTTAAGGAGATTAAAACTTAAGTTCTACTTTGCAACAGCGCAGTTTATCAAGAGCAGTCAGCTTCTTGACCTTTAGCACCTGACAGACTTCTGCCCTGCAGAAGTGATGTCACTCGGCCGATACCGGACTCCTTGGAAAGGAGTTTAAGCAGCCGCCCTCAAATGAATGCTACTGCCGAGAGTCGGACGACAAGTGCAACCCATAGCAGGTAACAATCCTCAGCAGCAATGCACAAATGTAGGCAATATATTGCTACGCTGGGCCTACCTGTAGGGTCTCGATCTAGCATGGCAGAGACCTTTTGCCAGGTTGCCCTGCTCTGCCAATGACGTTATGCATTCAATGCTCAACCAGCTGAGAAGAACAAACAGCTCTCTAAAAACATTCAAGAGAGTGTTTCACAATCCCGCTTCGTAATCTCAATCTCGGCCTGGAGCTCACGGTTCGAGTGCCTTCATAAGCGAAGACAGGGTAGTCCCTGGGTTACGTCGCTGCTGTCCGACTTTTTCAGCGTAGCGCTGCATTTCGCACCTTCACTCACTGTACAATACAATGTGAGTTTGTTTGAAACTGTACAATTTTGTTTCAAATTTTTGCTGTTTTATATTTGTGGGATTCGGATTTTGGAATTGATTTAAAGATATAGAGTAGTAGAAGTGGACTGTACACCTATATACACGCAGCTGGAACACAGTAAAAAATTCAGCGAGCAACCTTCCAATGCTTGTAAGACTGGAAACCACGATGTAGAAGGTATCCCATTTTCGCGCTCTTCAAAAAAGCCATTCGCAGGAAGAGCATAAATTACTCTCTGCGGTGTTTACGCGTCGTGGGATTTTGCACGTGAACTGCATTGTGAGAGATCCTATTTACATCATTCAGCAGATTGATGCTGCGATTACTCCTGCTGAATCCCTCTATGTTTCTGACTGTCCGCCCAAAGGAGACAAGCCCATTGAGAGCCGAACTTTCGGAACTAAATTCTCTTTTAGTATAGTAAGCATATATCGTTGTATCGAGGACCCACTGTACCTATGCCAGCATTTTGTTACAAATTGTAAATTACAATGCACTTGAGTAAACATAAAGGTCCAGTCGTTAAACACCAATGCCCGTCTGAAAAACGATCAGCCAAGAGAGATACCACTTTGAAACCAGTGGCATAAAATGCGTTAAATATGGGGCTTTCAGAGAAAAATATAATGGTATTTTCAATGATTTGTTTGTAGATAAACAACTTTTTTGAAATAATGTAATGTTAATAATAGCCAAAATACAAACACGTTGGTCAGACGACCGAGAGAGAGGAGCAAGACAGGTAGAAAATGAAGGGTTGAAAATCGAATTTCAGAGAGAGAGAGAGGCACGTACATACATACATATATATTTACATACAGTCCTTTGCGCGAAGGGAGACCGAATGTAAGCAGGGCAGATCATGTCAACTTTAAGAAGGAGAAGAGAAAACATCGCGATGCGTAGGTCAAGCGAGTGAGAGAGAGGAGCAAAATATGAAAGGGTTGAAAATCGGGTTTCAGATCGGGTGAGCCGCGTTCATGCATAGATATTTACATGCATACATAAGTATGTCAAACAAATACAACATATCTTTCTTACCTTAGAAGGTTTTAAAACAAAATTACAGCTTCGCCAAACAAATTATTTGGCTGATGCAACTGCAGTTATTTTCACTCTGAAAAATAAATAAAATGCGAGTAATAAGATAAAGTTATTATAGAACTGTACACCCACAAATTTATGTACAAATGTATGTATGTACGTAGCTCTTAGCTAAAAAACAATTCAACTTAATTGATATAAGCTTGGTAAAGAGATTTGGAATTTATCCTTTGATTACATACATACAATATATACGCGCGCTATACAAAAAATTATATATTTACATACCGTTGAATATTCGGAAACAGGCTTCACCTCTTATCCGCTTGAAAATCACGTCCATCACTTACGAATTTTTTTCACAACTGACGCTCGGGTGATCAGAGAAGTCGGTAGCCGGGTAGTAGTCGGGCCGAGTAGGCCCTTCGTCCCACTTCGTTTTTCTCGTCGTTAACATTCGGCAGCCGAAGGAAGTTAATGCTTACTTTTCTATATTCTAGGGTCATTTCATTCATATATTCAAAGGTGATTTTGTCTTTAAATACGTACAAAAATGTTTTGGCTGCGACGGCAAAACAAACATATGAGATTTTCATTTTTCTATTTTTAAGAAAAATTCTTTCTTGAATTTTTTCCATCAAGAATAGTTTTCTGTATTCAAAGGCAAATTTTCTAATAACAAGAAATTTTTTTTTCTATTTTCAAAGGTAGTCCGATTCAATGGCGAGATTTCCAAAATTTAGAAATTAATTTTTATGAGTGTAGCAGAGTCGATCTAGCCATGTCCGCCTGTCTGTCCGTCTGTATGCCTGTCCGTATGAACGCTGAGATCTGGGCAACTAAAAAACTAGAATGTTGAGATTTCCCACACATATTCTTGGACTTCCTTCGCAGCGCAAGTTTATTTCAGCAGAGCGCCGCGCCCCCTGTAACGCCCAAAATCGCCCACTGACGATTTTAAAATGTGTCTGGCGCCCACACCTTTAAATATTTCCGAGAAGTATAAATGCAATTTTGTTGTGTATATTTATACCTATCAAAATCGGACCATTCATTAAAAAGTTATACGCAAGCAAAACATTTTATATGTCCATCTCCCTCGCACTCCTTTTACCCGAGGGACGGGTATTAAATAGTCAGGACACCAACCCGACTGTTTTATATATTCTTCTGTTTTATATATTCTTTTTAATGTTTTTAAGGTTTTTGGGGGTTAGATCTGTTCGAAATAAACGGTAAAAAAGAGTAAAAGTTTTTTGCATTCGGTTAGCTAACCAAAAAGATATAATTAGGCTACCAGAACGTTGGAGTTAAGGTGGGAATAAGGTGAGGTTAGTGCAGAGTTAAGTTGCGATTAAGGTATTAGATAGATTAGGGTAAAAGTAATGTAAGGAAAGGGTGAAGGTGAAAAAGGTAAGGTTAGTGAGGATAAGGTGGTCAAGGTGACAAACAAGTTTTACTAATAAAAAATGAAGTTAAAGTAATTGTTTTTTTTTTAATTTTGGTTTTATTTCTTCCTAACGCTACAAGTACCTACAAAAAAAATACTTATAAATTAAAGCGCTAAAAAGCGCTAAAGTTAAAGTAAGTATGTATGTATAGTAAGAAAAAACGTGGAAAAACTAGTGCTAGGGTGGGTTAGGGCGAGGAAATAGTGAAAACAGAATTAAGGTGCTAAAAAAGTGTGCCAAGGGCTAAAATAAAATAGGTGGGTCCAGTGGTGTGGCGATTTTACCCCCCTATGTGGCGGAATCGCCCCCGTGGATTGGTTTTACTTTTTAATTTTTTATAAATCACCAAGGTAATTAAAACAAGAGAGAACACTATAGTCGGGTTGGTGTCCCGACTATCTAATACCCGTCACTCAGCTAAAGGGTGTGCGAACGCTGTACTGGATAGTGCGAGGGAGATATATATATATAAATATTGATTGGACATGGCTAGATCGACTCAACTAGTGCCCCTGATCAAGAATATATATAGTTTATAAGGTCGGAAACGCTTCCTTCTACCTGTTACATACTTTTGCACAAATCTAATATACCCTTTTACTCTACGAGTAACGGGTATAAAAATAGAGGAATGTCACATTTTAAAGTTTGGTGCTAACCGCATTCAACAATAAAAATAGAAATATGATTATGTGTCTCAAGACGGACAAAAAAAAGCTTTGAAAAAATGCTGACGAAATTGCCCCATTCTCCCCTATATTTATATCTATGACGCAATCAAAAAAATTTTATATATCTGTCTCCCCTTAGCTGAGTGACGGGTATAAGATAGTCGGGACACAAACCCGACTATATCATTCTCTCTTGTTTTACATAAATTTATATACGCATTAATGTCTTAATTTTGAAGTGTAAGCGTTATTTTATTTTTGCAATAAGTCGCAAAAAGTTTGAAAATTCAACCAAATAGCATAAAATACATTTTTATTATTGATCCCATTTTACAGTTGCTCTAATGAATGAGCATAATTGTACTTTTTAGACTCAATTTTGCGCATTGACGTATTGATTTAGGTAGTACCGTATAAAAGTATTTTAAAATTGCCAATTTCAGCATTTTTCGATCTCTTAGGTCATTGTGCTAGGAATCCTTGCATAGGGGAAATTTTTTAAAAACGCAGTTAACCTTGGGAACTCGTAACGAATTCAAAACAAAAGCATCTATGGAGGTAAATTTTTGATGTTGCATAGTGCTATGAACGGTAGTACACGTGATGACTAATGCGAGTTATGCAATTAAATATTTTAAAGCCTAATATTTAACAAAATTTATTTGAAGCAAAATTTTAAAAATTCATAAGTTCTTGATTGTGCGGTAAGAAATCTTAAATATTTTGCTAAAAAAAACCGAATGGGTATGTTGAACGTATCATCGTCACAAATTTTGACCTCGTTAAGAGATGTTTTTGTTCGATTAGTTAATAAGTGCATTCGATAGCTGATAACGGGTATATAATAGTCGAGGGACTGGAGTATTTAGCTTTGTTTTCTTGTAAATATTAGTATTTTAATGTTATAATTTATTTATTTTTCTTACATTTTTAGGGTAATCTTCAAAAATACTTTTCAACAACGTGTAAGCGATGACGGCCAATGGACTAAATACTTAAAATATCTTGTATAATATTATTACTTCTTATAAGTCTGTAATCATAAATAACATCTAATTAAATTGCACTGTCATTATTTTGCTTTTACTATTTTTACTTTTACTACTGCCACACAGAAATCTGTTTTAACCTAGTTGCTACGGGAACGTCTTCTTTTTCCACTTTGGACAGATTTTGTTTATATTATCCTGTACACACAAAAAAATTTGCTTGGTAAAATTGATCAACAAAGATAGTTACGTAACTATTAAATTAGTTACGAGTATTTTGTTTTTGCTTTGGGGTTGTGTCTTTGCTAATTGTGTGTATTTTGTTGTTGTGAAATGACTATTTACTTAGTATAATTTACAATTTTTCTGGTTGGGGCCTGTTTGACAATTATTACAGTTGATTTTACCAAGTGTTTTTTTTGTGTGTATAACACTGTGAGGAGTTGAATAACTCCCCACAAATTCCAGCAGCAGGCACAACGGATGGCCGGCCGCTTACCCGTTACGAAGCGAATTAGCGTAGTAGCGGTGCGGCGAAGAGAGTTTGAAAAGTGAGTGAGGAGTAGAGAATGAGAGAGTGGTGAGTCTAACTTCGGAGAGAGAGAGAGTTCTGAGAGAGTTACTACGGAGTGTGAGAGAGTGGAGACTTCGCAGGCAGAGCCAGAGTGCAGTGTGAAAAAGGAAATAACGGAACTGGGATCTGCCATGTACTTCGGACAAGTACTTCGGAGGACAAGTGCCACATCTCAGCAGGGGAGCGGCACACAGGCGTGCCCCATTCACCAGGAGAATCAGCGGGATGGCAGCAACATGTAGATCTCCAGTTCAAAGACGTGCAAGAAGGACAAAGGGCTCAAACTGGAGCCATGGACTTGTAGCATATAACGTTTAAAAATTGATTATTCGTATGAGCAGATGTTTGCGTAAACTGAGTTGGGAAACACGCGCTTGTTCCGGCTCCTCATCGTCGGCATTATGGGTGAGGGTCAAGAAAAGATACTCTTTTACGTGCTCACGATAGTATGCTAGTAATAACTAATTTTCGCGGATCGGAAAGGGCAATAAGGGAAAAGCCTTTCAACCAGCCTCGATAGAAGGGAAGATGAGAAAAGGGAATAGAGGGATTAGAACAGGATGAATAGGAATATTCTTTTAGCGACATTACGGAACACTAAGATGTTTGCTAGTGGCCTTATACCCCACCCTACCATGATCACTATATTGCAATATAACTCCATTTTGGTAGTGATCCCTTGTGGTCGCTAAAGTGATTAAATGATTTTCGTTGCTACACTTCTGTATCCCATGATTTCCGGAATACTCAAGGTTTAGTTCGATTTCATTTTATAAACATACATATTAAACATATTTGTAGTTTCGCATATTAAACATAGTAACGACCCTGTTTTGGGAGGCGGTATAGCTCGCCGTGGTCAGGGTTCGTGACAGATATTTATATTTCCTCTATAGATCGATTTACCTCCCTTTCCCCAATAATGACACAGAGGGATAGAACTATAAAGTAGGCGTGTATGTCGTAGTAATTGTAAAAAAAGGGGTTTGTCGGGTGGTGACGTATGCGTAAGTTGAGACTGCTTGCTTCGTTGGTTCGGCGCTACGGGAGGGCCGAAGGATGGACTGCTTGCTGTCGGTTCGGCGCTACGGGAGGGCCGAAGGGTGAACTGCTTGCCGTCGATGATCCGATGTTACGGAAGTGTGAGTGATGAACTGCTTGCCGTCGTGGATCCGATGCTACGGAAGTGTGAGCGATAAACTGCTTGCCGTCGTGGATCCGATGCTACGGAAGTGTGAGCGATGAACTGCTTGCCTTCGTGAATCCGATGCTGCGGAAGTGTGAGTGATGAACTGCTTGCCGTCGAAGATCTAATGTCTCGTTGACTGCTTGTCAGTGACTTAGCCAAGGGGTCCACTGCTTTGAGCGAGTCTCGGCGTTGCGGACGGGCCGTGAAGTCGCGGAATAGTTAACTGCTTCGTTGTGTGTACGTGACGCTACGGAAGTGCCGTGAGGTCGCGTTAGCCCTGCGGGATGGGCCGGTACGTGAACAGCTTCGTCGTGCGTACGTCGTGTACGTCGGGTTCGTAGTGTTCTGGGTCGTTGGGAACGATCTACTTGGATTTCTAGTGGGTTTCGGGAATGTAGGGCATCGTTAGTTTCGGGCTGCCGGGCATCGTTAGTTTCGACCTGCCGTTTCTACATCCGTTTCGTTTCCGGGTCGATAGTAGCCTGATATTTTCCTTGTTGAACTGAGAGCCATACACATACAATACATTAAAAATATCAGGCTACTGTAGATGAAAAAAAGTGACAAAAAGTACTTCTGTAAAATAGATGAAAAAAGTGACAAAAAGTACTTCTGTAAAATTCATTGTAGCTAAAGAAGTAGAGGTCGCCCAGCTTTGTGATTGGACACTCTTGAAGTTAAAGGTTTAAGGTACCATTTCCGCTAAATTGTGGCTCTGGGCTACGAAAGGTTTTCTATCTATTAAGCCGCAAAAAGTGCCAAAAAATCGAAAATGTGGAACTTTGACCACGGATTTCTCAAAACTTCGACGTGATGGAAAGTTTCCAAGTATGAGGTAGAAATCTACAGCTAAAATCCTTTCAGGTTTGGTAGCTTTTATTCTTGGGCTTTTTTTTTGTCGACCAGCGCTATTGGAAGCAAGTGGCTTTGGAATCAATGTGGTACTGTCCACAAACAAAAGAAAGAAAAAAGTGGGGTGACACGGGTTGACATGGAACGTCCCATATATATATATAAATATATAAGTGCAAATACATATATACACATAAATACACATACAATTTAAATATATATATATATATATATATATCTTCTTTCCTGTCTTCGCTCTGAGCGCGCAGAGCCTCGCATTATGCCTGGCGTGTTTTTTAGAGACGAGCAGTGAAGTCCTGCGACAGGAGATCGTGAACTCGGTTCGACAGCCGTCTAAACCCAGGGTGCCTTGTTTTAAACACTTTATTGGCGGGTCCCGGAAAATCGAACAGGTCCTGGCGCGACCAGCCAGAAAAGGCGAGCAGTAGGCCGGTTGTCATTTCAAGGCGCAGTCCTAGAGAGACCTAAAGGTCCTACCGGACCGGCGTGTGTCGAAACCCCGAGTACCAGAAGCCACGCTACGTCCAACCTCACAACCAGCACATCCAGAAGCAGTGCACAGGACATCGTCAGCTACAACACCAGCCAAAGGACATAGAGCTATGCGGAAACGTCACGGTCAACAAGCAAGAGGGTGAGGCCAGTGTGGAACGTTCGTTTACACTAGGCGTAAAAGCAAGGTGGAGCTCTAGGCAGATTCCAGGCGTTAACTTAACTGTCAGGGACCATCCGGAACAGAGCAAGGGACAGGCGGTGTATCGAGAGGAGAGATTCCTGGAGATCGCCTTCTCTGTTCACCCTAGTCTGAGAACGGTGACGCTTCCCTCAACCAGCGCAGCTGATCTCCTGGCGAGTCCAAGGCGCTACAAGTAGTCGTCGATTCCATGCATCAGAGACGAGCAGCGCCAAGCGTCCTCAGGAAGCTTCAAGGATCTTCACGGAACTTCAGGGATATTTAGGGAGCTACAGGGAGTTACAGAACCGGAGCACTCAGTCAACGAGGGGAGCAGTAGTAAAACCCACTAAGAACCCGTGAATTCTGTGCTTATATACATTTGGTAATACGAATTAGAGCCCTGCATGGGTATAGAAAATGGGTTATTTGGGTACCCAAATAAAATTTCAGGTCAAGTAAGTCAGGCTTTCTTTTAAAAATTTACCTACCCAACCTGACCCCACCATTTTCGGGTCATTTGGGTTTGGGTACAATTTTACCCATTTACCCAAATACCCAAACCCAAACGACCGAAGTCAAATGGGTTTCAAGTAGATCAGTTCAGGTTTAAGGTTACCCAAAGAAAAAGTTGATTTTTAAATAAGACGATGATCACAAATTTCACAGCTCATCGACCCGTCGCGATTTCTTAAGGTCAACATGGTTATTTGTGTATAATATTTAAAATTAAAGGATACGGTATGCGACATTTGTTTCCACTTCTTCCGCCCATGCGAATTCTTGTAGACTTCTAATATTACAGATGTATGATCCACAAGAACATCATCTCTTGCTCTAAAGAATTCGCGGTCTTTGAAAAATTGATATAGAATATATCATTAGGTTTCTTAGTTAAGTTATGTATAATCCACACAAATATATCCTCTTAATCCTAAGAACTCGCGGTTTTTAAAGAATCTATAATTATAGAGCCAAGTATAAACATTAGTGCTTTAGCTAAGAAGAACACTGTCCAACCAATCTGAAGATTCTCCTGTTTCTAAGAATTCGCGGGTTGGAAGAACTAATATAAAATCTATAAAAGTTCTTAAATTAATCGATTTTTTCAAAAACCGCGAATTCTTAGGATTAAAAATATATATTTGTGTGGATCATACATAACTTAACTAAGAAACCTAATGATATATTCTATATCGATTTTTCAAAGACCGCGAATTATAAGGAACAAGAGGATTTATTTGTGTGGATCATACATAACTTAACTAAGAAACTAAGAAACAAATGTCGATATATCGTATTCTTTAATTTTAAATATTATACACAAACGAGGACGGAAGCTAACTTCGGCAAGCCGAAGTTTTAATACCCTTGCAGATTTTACGAATGAAAACAACAACAATAACAATAGCAACATGAATTAATAAACAAGAAAATATTTTATAGTTGAAAAAAATAAAATTTTTAAATTTTTCACCCTATTTTTCCTATGGGAGCTATATGATATAGACGCCCGATCGGCACGCGCTTTTACCCTAATCAAGGTATGCGTAAAAAAATAAGATTCATGTCAAAAGCTCTTACACTGAGCGAAATATCTTCATTTTGTGAAAGCTATATCCGATTGTTCCTATGGGAGCTATAGGATATAGACGTCCGATCGGGTCGGTTTTCAAACTAGATCTGCGTACACATGTTTTAGGATGTCTGTGAAAGTTTTAAGTCGCTGAGCTCACAAACGGTATTGAAACAGACGGACAGGCGGACGGACGGACAG